CTTCCCTAGCAGCCCAGCAGTTAAGACTCTATGTTTCCACTGTAGGCGATGGGGGTTCAATCCCTGGTTGGGGATACCTTACAGTGCGACCCCCCCACCATACCTTACAGTGCGACCAAAATTTTTTTAAAATAAAATTTAAAAAAAAATAACTAAACCAAGTAGGCGTCAGCGGCATCATTATCATCTCAACTCAATTTATAAATGAAGAAATGGGCACAAAAGAATCAAATAACTTGCTCAAAGGCACACAGATAACCATTCGAACTATGGTTTAGACTCAACCAGCTGTAGAAATTGACAGGTGATTCTACAATGTGGAAAAGACAAAAGGACTAAGATAGCCAAAATTAATCTACAAAAGAAGAACAAAGTTGGAGCTTTATCACTACCTGGTTTCAAAATTTATTATAAAGCTACAGTAATTAAGACACAGTGATATGGCACAAAGATAGACAAACAGATCAGTGGACCAGAAATGAGAGTTTGGAAATTGGGCTTCACATATATGGTCAATTGATTTTTTGCAAAGGTGGGAAGGCAGTTCAATGGAGAAAGGATAATCTTTTCAACAAATGATACTGGAACACTTGGACACCCATATGCAAAAAATGAACCTTGACTTATACCTGACACCTTATACAAAAATGAACTCAAAATAGACAATAAACCACAATATAAAACCTCACTACTATAAAACTTCTAAAGGAAAATATAGGAGAATAGCTTTGTGAACTTGGGCTAGGCGAAGATTACATAGACCTGATACCAAAAGCACAACCTAGAGGAGAAAAAAAGTGATCAATTGGACTTCATAAAAATTAAGAAATTTTGCTCTTCAAAAGGCACTGTTAGGAGAATGAAAAGACCCTGATGCTAGGAAGGATTGAAGGCAGGAGGAGAAGGGGACAACAGAGGATGGGATGGTTGGATGGCATCACCGACTCGATGGATATGAATTTATACAAACTCCAGGAGTTTATGATGGACAGGGAAGCCTGGCATGCTGCAGTCCACAGGGTCACAAAGAGTCAGACATGACTGAGAGAATGAACAGCAACAAAGAATGAAAGGTAAGCTACAGACAGGGAGAAAGTGTTTGCAAACACATGTCTCCTACATGACTAGTATCCAGATCATATAAAGACTCTCAAACTTGAACCCAGTAAAAAATAGGCAAAATGTTTGAAGAGACCTATCAATGAACATATAAGTAGAAACTAAGCTCATAAAAAGGTACTCAATATCACTAGTCATTAGGGACATGGAAAATAAAACCCCAGTGAAATACACTAGACACCTATTAGAATGGTTTAAAACAAAACAGACCTGTTAATACCAAGTGCTGACAAAGATGAGAAGCAATGGAGACTCTAAACATTGCTGTTGGGGAGAAGGAAATGGCAACCCACTCCAGTGTTCTTGCCTGGAAAAGTCCATGGACAGAGGAACCTGGCGGGCTGCAGTCCATGGGGTTACATGAGCGAGCATGTGTGCACGAGGGTGGAGGGAGATGAGTTGGTAGCAATAAAGTGGTAGAACTAAAAAAAATAAAACATTGCTGTTGGGAATACAAAATGGTACAACAACTAACAGTTTGACAGTTTCTTGTCCAGTTACACAGACTTAACTGTGTTACCCAACATTGCTATGCCTTGATATTTACTCAAGTGAAATGAATACTTATATTCACAGGAAATCTTATTTGCAAATATTTACACCAACTTTGATAATAATCACCCCAAATGGAAAACAACCAAAAGCTGTTAACTGGGTAAGCAAACCCCAGTATATCTACACAATGGAATATTATGCAGCAAATAATAAAGAACAAACTCATAACACATGAAACAGAATGGATGAATTTTAAATGTAGGTATGTTAAGGAAGCCAGCCCCAAAGCTATATGACTTATGAATCTTTATGACATTCTGGAAAAGGTGGTCCATAGGCATAGAAACATCAATGATTGCTAGGGACTCTGGGCAAGGCCAGAGTTGACTCCAAATATGCATGAGTGAATTTTTTGGAAAGAAAGGAACAGTTTTATATCATTATGTGGTGGCAACATGACTGAAAACAATTTTCAAAACTCACAAAACTACACTGAAAGTGGTAAATTTTACTCTCTGTATATTACACCTAAAAAAATTTCATGCTTGGCTCATTGAGTATGGAACAGACGAGCTGACTGTTGTAAATTAGGTAACTTATCTTGTTAATTCAGGTCTCTTCCTCCTCCAGCATGTCTTAATCTGGCCATGGGTTTTCCCAGCATGTGCATCTGTATGGAGTTGCTGTAGGGGATAGCAGCAGTTGGAGTCCTTATATTCATGCTCATGCATGTGATTTTGAAGGCTTCAACGATGGTGTGCACTGTGAAAAATTTCAAAAACCCTCATCCTGTGGAAAGACTGGGCAATTAGGGAGCTCAGGGGTAGGGGGTGGCTGAGCCATGAGAAGCCCTGGCAGGCCAACCGGAGCTCACTGGGACACACGCACGGCTGGGCCCAGAGCCTCAGCCAGTGCACATGTGGCCAGACTGCCTTGGGGGTCGTCCCCCTGAGGAGTAAGGCGAGGATCGCACTCTCCACTGTCGGCCTGGTAGGCTGTCGCAGCTGACAAAACCTCACATGAAATCACCCATTTCGCTTGGAGGCAGAAGAGTCTCATGTGTCCACGTGCGCGGATACGTTACATGGCACACTCTCTGCATCATCGAGAATGATGGCCGAATGCTTCCACTTCTCTGCAGCCACAGGCGGAGCCCATGCTGCCAGGGCCCTGCCCCTGCCCCCGCGGTACTGGCATCCTGGACACGAGCGCTGAGCTTCACCGCAGACACTCCTGACGCTCGCTGAGGGCATTCCAGCCACAGTAGCACGGCAGCACTCGTATGTGGCAACCCAGAGGGATCGGGAATCCGGCCCCCAGGACCGTCCTCGGCCGATGAGAGAGAGGAGTGGATGATATGCATCCCAGCTTCTGTGCCTCTAGGTAGGACCACCCGACGCTTGTTCGGCACGGTCTCCCAAAGCCCCGCAGCAGGCACCAGCTGTCCCCAGCAGCCTTTTGCTCCTGACTGTGCCTTTTATCACCTTCTTCCTCAGTCCTGACTCAGCTGCCCTTCCCCTACCCAGAGTTTCTCAGGATGAACTCCAAATAAACTCCTTGCACTCGAATCTTCTTGTCAGGGATGGCTCCTGGGGACCCCGCCCGAAGACACAGTCACCACAACAATTGAGCCTCTAGTCCATCCCAGAGGAGAGGGGGCAGATACACCTCTCTACTGAGAGAGGGGTACCCGGGGACATCAGCTGAGGGGCTGAGTGGGATCAAGCTCATGGTTTACAGAGCAGGGGACCTCAGGGTTCCGAACCCAGGGAAAGATATGCGCCCCCCCTCAATGGTATCAGGCAATACCTGGAGCCATGTTTTGTTCTTCCGACAGGGATGAAAGCTATTGCCATCTAGTGGATAAGGCCAGGGATGCTAGCAAGCATCTAGCGGTGCCCAGGAGAGTCCCCCCTAACAAATGTCACTAGCGCCAAGACTGAGAGCCCCTGGCAGAGAACACACAACCGTCAGAGGACCTGGCTCTGGGCAGTTGGCTCATCCCTAAAAGCAGGGGGGTGGGCAGGGGGTCCTGAAACCAATCACCTGGTGATACCAAGGGATGACTTATACACTTGCCCCAAGACAACTGACATGCCAGGAGACAGTGATTCCTGTCCAGTCCTGAACAAGGGACATACTTCAGGAACTCTTAGTCAAGGAGTTATTAGTCCTATTTCAATAGATTCTATCTACTGTAATATGTAATTATCATAATTGCTATTGGTCAGAAAAACATTTATTTTATAGTAGTCTGTAATTCAGGAGTTTCACCAATTGATTTTGGATTCTTCTCAGTTGTGACTCTTCAGAGTGAATATCCTATTATCATTATGTCTAAATCTAAACATCAAAAGGTTTAAAAAAAAAAAACTTGTTCAAAAGGCTGGCAGATTTCAAGGCAACAATATTAATAGAAAACAATGGCCCATAAAGTATCTAGGACTCAGTCATATCCTTCTAAACCATCCCTAGGACCGTAGTTATGGTCTACAGTTAGAGTAATCATTTAAACTGTCCTGCCAGCACCAGGAACAATAGTTCTCAACCCTATCAGACACAAACCACCTTTTAAAACAGTTTAATCCTGAACTGCAATTGCTAGACAATATAACTTAGCTACCACACGCTAAAAGCCCTTTCTGAAATAGCTAGGGAAATAAAAGGGAATAAAAGAATGTCGTGTTACCGTGCACATCTCTATGAAAAGCATCAGGCAGATCACGGGAAGAGTCATTGAAGAATTCTGATGCTTGCGCCAAATACAGCAAGTGTCCCTGGAGTCAAGAGGTAGGAACTGGGTGTGTTAAACTGGCGATGGACAGCAGGAGCAGTCCTGCCCTTGGGAACAAACAAAAGACTCCCAAGACAGTGGGTAATTCTTGGTGATGTGATCGCCAAGGAAAGATACGACCACTTTTCATGACCTTCCCAGCAACTGATTACCGTGAAAATGGTATGTATTAAAGCCCTACAAAAAATGATGGATTTTTACGTTGGCCACTTGTAGTTTGGGATGCTTGCTTTTAAGGTTATATGAAAAGAGGGTCTATTGTGGCAGAGCCCTTGGAGGAAGTGTGGGCTGTAGGTAATTGAATGATGGAATCTGGAATCTGCTTGTGCATACTGGGATGTGCACCTGGGGAGCAGTGCCCTGAGGGCGGGGTGGGACTTGCTTCCAGCCCATCTGCAGCAGCGAGAGGCTAGACCAGCAGTGGCTTTCTCCAAGTCTCAGGTATTGTGGGCTCTGCTTGTTAAGGGGAGGGTTTTTGGTGCTCATTTTGAGGTACACTGCTCACTCCACTGTGGAGTGGCCGCATTTGCAAGACGGAGTTCATCGCCCACTTCCATGTTCTCTTCTTACAGGGTCTCCATCTTGTATGATCATGCAGCAGGCTCTAGAGCAAGCTTTGGATCATGCAGAGTATGTCATTGCAACTGCCCAACAAAGACCGCCGAAAAGGAAATACTCAACAAGCGGAGAGACGTCTCTCCAGGAAAAACTGTATGACATTTATGTTGAAGAATGTGAAAAACAGCCTGAGGTTATGGAGGAATTAAGAAGCAACGTGAACCTGTTAGAGAAGCTCCTTAGGAGAGAGTCGTTGCCCTGTTTGGTGATCAACCTGTACCCAGGAAAGCAGGGCTATTCCCTGATGCTCAAAGGGAAACATGGATCATATTCAGAGAGCATTCCACTGCCTTACGAAGAAGGGGAACTGCTTGAATACTTGGATGCTGAAGAATTACCTCCTGTTTTGGTGGATCTCCTGGATAAGTCTGCAGTTAACGTTTTTCATCAGGGGTGTGTCATAGCAGAGATACGGGACTACAGGCAGTCCAGTGCTGGGGAACCTCCGCGTTACCAAAGCAGGCATATTCTCTTACGTCCCACCATGCAGACGTTAGTCTGTGATGTAGAGGCCATAGCCGGCGATGACCAGAACTGGACCCAGGAGGACAAACTTTTGCTTGAGAGCCAACTGATCTTGGCTACAGCGGAACCACTGTGTCTAGACCCTTCTGTATCAGTAGCCTGCACTGCAAACAGACTGCTCTATAACAAACAAAAGCTGAACACTCTTCCCATGAAAAGGAGCCTCAAGAGGTATTCCGCACCTGCTCTGAATCGGCAGCAGGAGCTGTCCCATTGTCCACCTCCTCCTGAGCTAAGAATCTTGACTTCTTGCAAAAAAATAAGGGAAAGTAAAACAAGTAAGCAACATGGCCTTAAGACTTTTAAAGCAGGCAAGTGTGTAGATACGTGGAAACAGAGACCCTGTAACTTGGCTGTCCCTTCTCAAGTGGATGTGCAGAAATATGCTAAAGGGAAGAAGTCTGTCAGATATGAGGAGTCACAACTAACCCAGGAGGTACTAGGTGATCCTGCAGTTGGATGTGAGGCTGCCTACCAATCCCAGGCAACAAGGTTGACCGTCAGGCAACCAACTGATAATTCACTTGCCACTGGAAACGGGTCTGAGAAAGAAGCCACAAGGGAGAGAGAGCCGAGTCTGCCCCAGTCCTCCACAGATGACCACTTCAGGAGTTTCCTGTCCAAGCCACAGACTGATGCTGGGAGAGTGGTCAGTCAGTCTGAGCAACTGGTCCAGAAGAGCACCCAGTGTCCAGTGCAGACATCACCCAGCTCCAGTGGCTCAGCCCGTCTCAGGCAGCCTGCTCCAGGGACACAGTCAGCACAGCCTAGGGCTGTGTCCATTCAGTCCTCAGTGCCAGACTGGGTAGCCAGACCTCCACCCCCACTCAAGAGACGTCCCTGGAGCCCAGAGAAGAGCTCCTGCGGTGACAGCTTTACCTCACAGCAGGCGGGCAGCTCTCAGGCCCGCCCATCTCCTGGCGCTGCTCCTCAGCCACCCAGCCTTTCCCAGAGATCGTCTGTGCCGCTGAACAGAGGAAGCTCGCTTCCTGCAGCCTCCCCGTCCACCACAGGCGCATTACAAAGAACCCCGGACGTCCAGGTCACGACCATCTCCCCTGGCCTGAAGGTCATCAAAGTAGTGGGCCCCTTTTGCTGTAGCCAGGCCTCAGGGAGAGGGTGTGCCCCTAGGGCCCCCGCTCCCGTGGGGATCCAGCCCGGTCAGCGGCCCGCAGGATCTCGGCTCTCGAACTGGAGGTCCACACCACCGCCGCTGCTTCCTCGTCCTTCTCCCCCTCCTCCCAGAACCATTCAGGTGCTTTTGGAAAACGCTTCGGACCTCAGGCCCTTTGCTCTGGTGGAGCTCCCCCGCAGTTCACCGGTCTGGAGCAGCCAGCAGCAAGCCCCGCAGCCGTGTGTCTACCAGCTGGTTCCCCAGCGGGCCCCGCAACGGCCTCAACCGCCAGCGGCCCGGGCTTCCGGCACACGGCGTCCACGGGCACAGGCCCCACGAGCACAGGCCCCACGAGCACAAGCCCCACGAGCACAAGCCTCAGGGCCACAGTGTCCGAGCGCACAGACCCCAGGGCGACGGGGTCGAAGTTCACAGTGTCCGGGTTTACAGGCTCCAGGGGCACAGGGCGCTGCCCAGCCCAGCACCACCATCCACGCCCAGCCAGCAGTGCTCCTTCACCTCCAACAGCAGCAGCAGGACCCCCTGCCACCCCGGGTGCCTGGGTTTTCTCCACCAGGCTTTGTCCAGAGCCGCCCGAGGCTAGGCATCTCGCATCACAGGATCCAGGCCTCACAGGCCCCACGCCCGCCGATTTACTGGAGGGTAGTGCGGTGCCCAGTGGATGCAGCCCCCACAGCCCCCACCGCGCCGCCCCCTCAGGGCCCCAATCCAGGCAGCCAGACCGCAGGGATCCCGGAGGGAAGCCCCCCAGCCGCCCCCAAGTCCTGAGGCCTGCCTGGTTTTCTCTCTTTAAAAAAAACCCCAAGAGCAGCAACCTCACTTGGGTTATTTTTTAATGTGTCACTATTTTACATTCTTAGGTGTGCAGACCTTCTGCAGAGGCACAATTTTTACATACAAGCCCCGAAGGTCTTTAATAAACTGGGATTATTTCACCTAAGCCATGGCTTTGGTGGTGGTTGTGGACAGTTATTTTTTTTGTGATGTTCTCAAGCGTATCCAGACCCAAACTAGGGTCAGTTTAAACTCCTGAAGCCTTGTTATTTCTCTCAGGCAATAAAGCTGAAATACCAAGAAAGTAAAAATTAGTATTGACAAGATGACTGTTTTTTAACTTTTTAGATGAGTTACTAACACATGAACTGTGGCATCTTCACCATTTTACGTGTCCAGCTCACTGGTGTTCGGTGGACTCACCTTGTTGTACAACACATCTCTAGGATTCTTTTCTGCTTGCACAGATTCTTTTCTCTCCCCAAGGAGCACCAACTTCTCGGTTCCCTCTCCCCCAGCCCCCACCCCAGCCCTCTACTTTCTGGGTCTCTGAGTCTGGCTGCGGTAGATTCTTCCTAGAAGTGGGGTCCTGCAGTTGTCATCTTTGGTGAGGGGCTCACTTCACTGAGCATCCTGACTTCAAGGTCCATCCCTGTTAGCATGCCACAGGAAGGTCATCGCTTTTCACAGAGGGTCTCACGGTATGTAATCTACAGCGAAGTTGCCTATGAAATATCAGAAACATCCTTCAGAAGAGAATGCACTTCCATATTTGTTTAAGTTTTTGCACAGTGTGTGAAATGCAATTTTTACACATTTTGGGGGAGAAAAAGCTAAACGTACCCAAAATTGATCTTGTCACTTTAATGTTGAGGCCCTGGGCCCCCTCCAGGTGTGCTGCAGGGGGCGGGGCACTTGCTTGCATGGTTGTCCCCAGCCCAGGTCGTGTCCTCCAGGCTGCAGCTGTGAAAAGGCACTTCTGGGATGTGGTTGTCTCCCTATAAAATCATTGACATTTTTGACATCCCTGGGTTGTTTGCAGAAGGTAAATAGCTAAACGTTTGGAAATGAGTTGGTTTGTTTGTTTTTCAGGTGTTTTCAACCTTGTTACATTTGAGGTGACGTCCCCCTGCCCCCTTCCTTTCTGTCTGTCTCTTGCTGAGTGATCACCTGTTGGTCAGCCGCCCCTCTTCCTCTTCTCTATTTTTTTCCTTCTTTCTTGTTTCAATGGGGCTCAAAAGATCCCTGAACTTTTCTGTTTACTTCATCCCTTTCTTTCCCCCCTTTTTTTTATTGTGATAAGTTTACGTAAGAATCAGCTATTTTAAAGTGTACAGTTCAGTGGCATTTACTCCATTTACAATGTTGTGCACTCACAGCTTCTATTTCCAAAACATTTTCATCCCCCAAGGGAAATCTCTGCACCATTCAGCACTCTTCCAAGCTTCCTCTCCCCACCCCACCTCAGGAAACCACCAATTTACATTCTGTCTCTATGGACTTCCCCATTCTCCAGTTTTCCTAAAAACGGAATCAGAGACTATCTGACCTTTGCTGTCTGGAGTCTTTCACTTGGCATGATGTTTTCGAGGTTCATCCATGTTGGCACAGGTCTCAATACTTCCTTCCTTTTTAGGGTTGACTACCCTTTTCTTGTTTGTGAACACCAAATTTTGTTTATCCACTATGTGTTGATGTACATTTGAGTTGTTCCCACCTTTTGCCATTGTGAATAGTGTGGCTCTGAACATTTGTGTACAAGTATCTGAATGCTTCTTATATTTTGTTCTTATAACTTTGAAGGAGAACTTTCTTATAAAATTATTTTTTCTAAGTATGCATATATGCCTTTCGCCCTAACAAAGTAAAGGAAGTTTGGTCTGGCAGTTCCAAAAGAGATGAGCGAAGAGACAGATAACAGGTGGGTCTTACTTGATCAATCCAGCTGTACTAATGTGCTACAGATCCTGTTAAGGAAAGATTTGGTCAGCTTGAAGCCAACAACGCAGAGAGGCCAGTGGAGTGACCCTGAGTCCATTAGAGCTTCATGCAGCCCACACTGGACATCTCCGGGAATGATGCCTGCACTGTTAAGGAGTGAAGCAGTGCAATGACCAATTGCAAAGAAGAGTTTATGCTCAGCCTTGTGAGCCAACCAGACACCAGAACTCAATTTGTGTACTTCCTCTGTTTTGTCCTCACTGATCTTTTCAAGTGCTACATGGCGACACTAGCTGAAGTCCTGCTCCCCCTTCCCAGGCAAGCAAATAAATGCAGCTTTGTTTCAGATTACTGTTTGGTGGTCTTTGTTTATTTCCTTCTAATGGTCCTCACCAAGGTTGGTACTTGATACAGGATCTCTTTAGAGTATAATACCTGTCTATGTTTTGTGAATAAGCTTTTCATTCATTGTAGCATCTTGAGAACCTGGAGCCTCTTCCCTACCACAGACCAGATCCATGTACTTCATCTGAAATGTGTTCCCTGCAGGCTGTGTCTTCTGGACTTTAGGGCTGAGCATTCATAGTGAGGTGGTTGTGTGAAAGTAGATGGCCTCAGAATTTTATGATACAGAGCAGAGAAACTGATCCCAGTGATTATCATCCAGGAAAATCCAGGTAGACTCCATACAGCCTGGCTTGTTGGGGAGAGTTGGGGCCCTTGTCACAGGGTGGGGTTTTGAGCTCAGGATTATATTCCTCGAGGATAGTATCAAGTATAGGAAGGACTCCGGTTCTAGGTCAGTGCTGAAAGAAATAGAATATGAGTCCTATATATTCAAAATCTACTAGCCATGTTTTATTAAGTAAAAAGAAATAGGAGAACTTACCTTTAGTGATTTAACCAAATATATCCAAAGGATTATCATTTCTTCATGTGATCAATATTTTAAAAAATTTAGTGAGACATTTTATTTTTAAGAATATTCTTTTCTTAAATTTATTTATTTTTGGCTTTCTCTAGTTGCAGCAAGCAGGGGTTAGTCTTCATCGTGGTGCTCAGGCTTCTCATTGTGGTGGCTTCTCTTGTTGAGGAGCACAGGCTCTAGGCACATGGGCTCAGTAGTTGTGGGGCATGAACTTAGTTGCCCCATGGCATGTGGGATCATCCCAGACCAGGGATGGAACGAGTGTCCCTGCATTGCAAGGTCGATTCTTAATCACTGGACCACCAAGGAAGCCCTATATTCTCTTATTTTACTAAATCTTCAAAATCCAGACAGTTGCAGCCTGTCTAACTTCAGGTGCAAAATTTTTATCAGAAATGCTGGATCTGTCTTTACATTTTTACATAAAAAAATTTCTTCTTCCAAACATAGTTTTCAAGTAATTGAATCAAGTACCAGTTTTAAAATCTAAATGAGTTAAAGTTTTTTCTTCAATGTCACTAGCCATGTTCCAAGTGGTTAGCAGCTGCCTATGGCTCTGATGTTGATCTGTGCAGCTCCAGAGGAGCAAAGCAGATCATAGAGACAGCACCTCAGGAATGATCTGGGTACCAATTCTGGAGATAAGGCAGGAGCCGATCACCAGAGCACAAGGGTGGAGTGGGAATGATGACGCAGATCCCATGTGCTGTGTGGTGCTCTCAGGAATCCTCACTGCCTCTGGTCACCTGGGCCTGGACTTGTAGGTAGAGATCAAGTGACCCCAGCCTTGGAGCTCGGAGGGTGGGAGAGACTGGAAAACAAGGGTCAGCCTTTTGCTGACTGTATTCAAAAAGGTGATGCAGAGGCACTAACCATCCCAGCAATTAAGTACAACTCACCTAGCCCACCCATACTCCGGGGAATCCCAGATTATTACTCTGGGGAGCTTGTAATCTGAGGGAATTTGAGAGGGGAGATTCACTATCAGCTCTTTCCCTTTCCTGTCACGCCTTCTCCTGTTCAGTGTCGGCAACTCGAGCTCTTTGGCACAGAGACCAGCACAGCCGCGAGCTGGGTGATGGGAGCATGGAGGCTCCTTCTTCTTCTGTGAAGAAGTATGTTTGGCATATGTTTAAAATTGGCCATACAAGTGTAAATCGCTTTATGGCATTTTGAGTAATTGAAGGTTTGTGGCAACTCTGCATCCAGCAAATCTATCCGTGCCATTTTTCCAACAGCGTTTGCTCACTTCATGTCTCCGTGTCACATTCAGGTAATTCCCTCGCTCCTTCAAACTTTCTCATTGTTATTCTCTGTGTTACAGTGATCAGTGATCTTAGATGTGACTGCTGCGACTTGCTGAAGGATCAGATGATGGGTAATATTTTTTAGCAACAAAGTATTTTGAATTAAAGCATGTACATTTTTTAGACATAATGCCATCACACACTTTATATACTGGGAAACCAAAAAATTCATGTGACTTTATTGCGATCTTTGCTTTATTGGGGTGGTCTGGAAGTGAACCCGCAGTGCCTCCGAGGTTGGCCTGTGTGCATCCATTTGAACAATCAAGCTGCCAAACCTTGCCCCGTACCATCCTTCATCTTGTGCCCAAAGTCCTGCCAAGCCCTGGCCCTTGGCTTGCCCTTCCTTCTTCCCGGCTTCACTGCCATAGCCACAGTCAGCAAAGGGTGTTCGAGTTAATTGTTAAATTCAGTTCAACAAGTTCCTCATTAGGGACAAATTACCTGAGTTTGAAATCTGCTAATTTTCCAATCAGAGTGAGTGTTTGCACTTGTGATTTGGAAATAATTACCATATGGTAAAAGCAAAACTTATGTGGGGATTAAAGTAAAGGTGAGGGAGGACAGGAGCTTACTTGAGTATCTTCCCTGGAAACTCATGGTATAAGTGCGGATCAGTAGCGGTGCCTCTACAGGGGACGCTCAACTGCAGCACCATTTGGCAAAGGCTGTTTACTCCCTGTGCTAATGCGCCCTTGAAAGGTGACCGTGATCTTGAGGGGAGAGCCCTGTGGCCTTCATATGCCTGAATTGTGTCTGGAAAGAGAAGAGTCTTTTGCATTTAGCTATTTCATCTAAATATACATCTCTACTTTTGC